CCCCCGCCCGCCCACAGCTGAGCTGCTGAAGCACCGAGGGGTAACGGGCACCAGCTGGACCCTCTTCATGGAAATGGGGAGAAAAAGGATTATTTTTTCCAATGTGAGCACCTGGCAGCACCCCAGGGGGGCTTCAGGTCATGGGCCCCGGCCGGCAAAGGGACCAGATGCACAGCCCCCCCTTTCTGCAGAACTGCTGGCCCTGTCCCGGAGGGTGACCGGGCTGGTTTGCACAGGGGGACAACAGCCCGGCATCCACCAGCCCCCCAGCCACGGCTGCAGCACGGACTGCCGGGAATGGTAATAAAAATGCTGAGGCAGCATTAAATCCTGCATCTTTCCTCCCTCCCCCATGGTCGTGTGGTCTGTCCAGGTGAGTGCAAGGGGCTCCTGCAGCCCCACCAAGGCAGCTGAGGTACTCGGACCCTGCAGTCTGTCTGTCTGTCCTGCAGCACCTGCTGGATGAATCCCTGGTCCCCAGGAGCAGGAGGGGAATCTGCAATCAGCAGTGATCCCTGAACCCCAGCCCTGAACCCCAAATCCCAACCCTAAGCCCCCAAACCCCAGCCCTGAGCCACAAATACTAGCCTTGAACCCCAAATCCCAGCCCTGAACCCCAAATCCCAACCCTAAGCCCTGAACCCCAGCCCTGAACCCCAAACCCAGCCCTGAACCCCAGTCCTGAGCCCTAAGCCCCCCCAGCTCTGAGTCCCAGCCCCAGCTCAGGAGGGTCCACAGCACCCCAGGGAGGGTTTGGGTGGATGGGGAGCGCTCAGGACTGAATGACACCAAAAACCTCCTGGGGAGGGGACAGTCAGTCAGGGCCACCCCCCACAGACACCCCCCCAGGCCCCGCCCCGGCGCCCCGGGGATGGATGAGGCCGCGTCAGCCGGATGCAGGTGCATGGACCACGCACCATCGCCCGCCCCGGGGGTTTGTAGATACCCTCCCCGCCACCGCCCCAGCACTTTTGGGGCAGGATGCGGCCGGTGCTGGTGCTGTGGCTGATCCTGGGCCTGCTGGCGGGGACGGGGGCCGAGGAGATGTGCGGGGATCCCCCCGCCCCGTCCCGCTCCATCCCCGCGCCCCGGCTCAGCCCCGAGGAGCAGCTCTCGCCCCACATGCCCGAAGCCCTGCGCTGTGATGCCTGCCAAGCTATCGCCTTCCAGGTGGGGAACGGGGAGATGGCACCCCAAAACCAGGGTGGAGAGCCCTCCTGGGGATGCTCTGGCTTGGGGAGATGCTCCTGGCTCCCCCAGAGCACCCTAAAAAATGCCCTTTGGGGCCAGCGAGCCCCTTGGACCCTCAAACCCCGTGCAAAAGTGCTTCAGCTGCCGGGGCCACGAGGAAGGGGATGTGGGTCCCGTCCCTGCTCAGGAGCAGGGGCACAGGGGAGCTGCCACCCTTCACCGGCAGGTTTCTGCCCTTTTTCACCCCAGATTGAGGAGCAGCTGCGCAGGGCAGAGGGGAAGGTGGGCAGGAAGGCGCTGAGCGAGTCCGACTACATGGAGGTGTTGGAGAGGAGCTGCTCGCAGGGCTGGGAGAGGTGAGCGGGGCACCCCCGGGGGACAGAGGGGACTCCCCAGGGATGTCCCCAACCCCTGCCTCTCCCCGCAGCTACGGGTTGCCGGAGCTGGCTG